ATACACATTTTAAAACTGAAATTAAAAACTATTTTAATCATTTTAATATAATCTTAAGTGTATTTGTCGGATAAAACCATTAAGATATTTATAAAAATAAAAGGAATTAATTTTCCTTGTTTAGAAGAATTTTATAGGTAGAACATCCACCAGACACTAGGGGCTAAAAAAGAATAATTTTTACTTTGGATTTAAAACAAAATGACTTGCAGTTTTGAAAATATACACATTTTAAAAATGAAAAACCAACTTTATTTTTTTTAATATCTAATTTTAGGTGTATTTGCTAAAAACATATTTTTACTTGTAGAAAACAAACAATTTTAAAGATTCACATATCTGGAAATACACTCATTTTAAAAGTGAAATTAAGAACTATATTAATTATTCTTAATATCTAATTTAGGTGCACTCCCTAGATTAAAAAACAAATTTATTCATAAAAAATATCTTCATTCATTTTTCTTGTTTACAACTTTATTTCGTGATTGATGTAACACTGGCTTACTAGAAAGAGAGCCATTACAAAAAATCTGACTTCATAAAATTTAACATTAAGATGAGACTGGCAACTATTTTTTATTTTTACTTGGTATTTGTTGTTAACTTAATTTTACCACAAATTTTTTTTTTTTTTGTCGAAACTGAAACAAATAGATATCAGAATCATGTCGCATTTCCTTTTTCTTTTTCATTTCTTTTGTAAACAGAATTTAAATTTATTTCCTAAAACTAGTCAATTATGTTTTTAACATCTTTTTGTTCAATCTTTGTCTCTTACAATGGTATAAATGTTGATAAAATTTACTTTTATTAACATCTGAAAGTCTTTTTCAATAGTGTTCCTTTGGATATGGTCACTCAGTAGGGATAGCCCCTAAAAAACCAAACAATTTCAGTTTCATAAAAAATTTTGATGCAGTTTCACGGTGTAAAGATGAAACTGAAAAAAAAGTCAGTTTTTCAGTTAAATAGAATGTAAGAGGTAGCCAGTGAAGCTGTTAAGTTTGGAATTTGAAATGAATGTGTTTTCACATGCTGTAGTATTGGAATAGATTATACTGTCATGCAATTAAAACTTTGAATGAAGGGATTGAGATTGCCCCAAAATTAATTATTTCATCTCAAGCAAGGCAATAAAGCCACAAGATGGATACTGCGTGTTGAAGAATGAGAAAAAATTCCTGGCAAACTTGGACTTTTGTACCCAGGGAAAAAAATAGTTAAAAAGACACTTTTTCCATTGACTTGATATTATTTTAACTACCTTCACTCTTCAGCAATGTTTGATTTTAAAAAAAAATAAAATAAAAAAATGGTGATTGGAATTGTAATAAAATCTAAACATATGATGAAAGTGAATTTATACATTATTTTTTTTTTTTTGTTCTCAAATTTACAAGGAAAACATTAAACACTTTATTTATTAGATTGTTTATTTACAAGAATAATTTTATGTTTACAAAATTCTAAAAACATATTACAATTGTATTAAAATTAATGCAATGCAATATTTATCATTTACCAATTTATAAAGAAATAAATGTGAAAACGATTTTCTATTCATAAATTTATAAGCATTTACTAAACTATGAGTAAATCTTTATTATTTACCATTTTATAAACTTTAAATGAATTGGCAATTAGCTGATGTTTTGCCAACCAATTCCAATAAACAATTTACTAAATAGTGTCAAAACCATCTAATAAATAAATAACATTTATTATTTTTGTTGTCTATTTTCAAGAACAAGGAAAATGTATAAATTCACTTTCATATGTCTAAGTGATAAACATTGGAATTAAAAACTGAACCCTTTATTTAGTCCACTGGGGTAGATTGTTCTCATTCCACATGCCATGCTTTTTCGGGATATCTCAGTTTCAGTTATTTTACTTTAGTAACTCAACACTTAAAGATTTTTGTTCACCTGTGCTGTGGCCAGTGGACTAAATAGAGGGTTCAGTTTGTAATTTCAACATATATTACCTAAAGAAGGCCAGAGCGTACAATGGTCAAAACATTATGAATGTCAATAAAGATGAGAACATCCGTCCAAACAATGTAAATAGTGTAAATATTTAATTTTTAACGTTCTTGCATTGTTACTTTATTTTAAAGGCATCCCAAAATAAAGGCTGATCCCATCCCCCACCAATTTTGTTTCTATTTATCAAGTGAAGGTCAATGGTTTCAATTATCTGGATCTATTTATAATATGAGGCAGAGTAATATTCTCAATGCTGTTAACAAAAATATTGAATCTTATTAGTACACTGTATGGTGGGAAGAAAAACTATTATCAAAAGATGGGGCTTGGCTATAAAATAATGAAACTTGCCTTATGTAACTTTAACCACAATGTGCAGTTGCAAGCCAAATGTCATACATTGACCAAAAGGCAAATATAAACAAAAGTTTCAATCTGTTCTTGTCTTCAATTCACTTGCTTAAAATTGACATTTTCTTGACATATAAAAATAGTCTATGCAAAAAAAAAAATCAAGCCACATATCAATTTTGAAATTTCTTGTTGCAATTGAACAAAAGTTAGCAAATCATTTTGTATACTTACTGAAATTTATAGGGAACAGTGCATGTCACATGCATATGCATTTGAGTGGTACAAGATTTTGTGAACATTATGAGGATGTCAAATAAATGTTTTGGACGCCCGTGTTTTTTTTTTTTTTTTTTGTTTGTTTTTTTTTAATCAATTCACCCCAAGCAAGGCAATGATGGTTTTATCCTTGATCTGGATAACACCCTCAATTCTTGTACTAAAGTAGATTTTGTCAAATATATTACAATCCTTAACCTAGGGTACTCTATTGGATCGCTAAAAAAAGAGCATAGCATGATAGAAAAGACGCCAAAGTTGATGAAAACAAAATTTTCGCGTCTAAATGCTTATGTTACTTTTTAGAGGAAAGATCAAAGTATTTTTTACTTATTTTTTGAAATTTTTCCTTCTTTTTTAGAACATTGTAAATTTTGATTAAAAGACCTTGTTTCTCTTTTTATCAGCTTGGCTGATAAATTAACGATATAAACATTTTAGCGTTTTTTCCGTTTGACACACATTAATTTGGAAAATCTTGCAAAAATGAAAATAATTGTTTGGATTTTAATGAAATTTTCAGAAACTATTTACAAATGATGGAACTTATTATAAATACATTTTTTTTTTTTTTTTTAGTAAAGTCATCGCAGAAATTTTTTTTCATATGTATTTACCGCTCTAACTAATTGTACGAAAAACTCTATAATTTCAATTTTGAGGAGTTTAGTGATTATATCAGTTAAAAGCACAATGCTTTGAGGAAACAAAATCATGTTTTTTTTTTTTTTTTAGTTGGAGCCCTTCTGCCTGAAAATCGTCTCTGAAGTGTAACATACAAAACTCAATAAAACAAAAATATTATTTAATTTCAAAAGCTTTAATTGCTTTTTATTTATTCCAATAAACATGGACAATATTGTCTGAAAGCAAAAAGATATTTCAATGAAAATGAATTTTTAAAACAATTACCTACAATTATTTTTTATTTCTGCAACCATTGTTTTATTTTTTACATTATGTTGTTAATTCTTCTAAAATTATGGAAAAGCTTGTACAGCTTAACGGATGTTGTTTTAAGTAGATATATATTTACAGATTATAATTTCCAAAGCTTATTACAAACTAATGAGTCTTTGTATATTAAAAAATTAATTTGTCAATAATGTGTTTACCAATGAAATCTACGGAAGACCGGAAGTTTGGTGCATGCAATAAAAATAACGTCACGTGGATTGAGTTTCTGCCTAGTATTTAAGGGTTGTTCTTCGCTGTATACGCCCCTTAATTTAGCAAACTGTTCCTGCTGAAACACGTGTGCATCGTTTTCATTAAGTTAAAATAGGTACTTTCATCTAGTTTTCATCGTAGTCCTGTAATGTTTGGTTGAAATCGGTTGAAAAATGTAGGAAATTCGATCCAATATGTAAGATTTTGCCTCTAGAAAACTAAAAAACATTTCAGTCATTTACACTGGCCAATTTTACTTTTAAATGAAACCTTGTTTCCTTTCAGAAAATACTTAGTTTCATGGGATTCAGATAAACTTTCCCTGATATTTTCCAGATAAGTCATTTTTAACCTAAAAAAAAAAACCATTTATTTATTTTTTCCGAGAATATAGGCTGTGACAAAATGATTTTTACTATGTTTGATTATTATTACTATGGATGAAAATTTTTTTATAATAGCAAATCTGAATTGACTTTAGAGGGGTCTATATGGGCCCTCAAACAGCAGTGCAGCACTTGTATCTTAATTTTTTAAATAGTATTTATAATTTCTCCAGATACCATCAACAAAATAAGGTTACAGTGCTTTAAAAAAAAAATTGTAATGGCGAAAGTTTTTTTTTTTACTTTAAATAGTACAAAGTACTACTTAAGTAGGTCCGCTTAAAAAAAACGATATGTCCATTATGTCCTTCCGTATGAGAACTCGAATCTCACGTCAGCTGTCAATAATTTATAGACGTCATCACTCAGCACTCTCTCAATCGGCGGCGACGTGAAGATCGGCTCTTTTATCTTAAAAAACATTTTTCTACGAAGAAAGTAAGTAAAAGTTTCTTTCAAAATATTTTAAACAAACTTCAAATTTTCTAAATTTCTTGAGAAAACTGTTGTATATAGCTCATAGTGTAGACATTTCTGAATGAGTTGGTCACCATCCCTATGAGATTCCAGGCTTTTTAAAAACACAAGATCCCCAACCTCTCAGGCTTTGGTCATTTCTTCTGTGAAACCAAGTTACAAACACTTCATAGCATGATTAGCAAAACTGATCATTACTGCTTGCTTCAAATGTTTAAAGCACTTAGTGGTCTGGTTAGAGCTTGGCCTACTGCTTTCACAGGGACCTTAAGAAATTGAAGTGACCATGACTTATACAAACAGCTGGGCATTACATGTTTTCATCACAATACTCTGATTTATTGATATGACATTTTCCAAAAGACCTGTAAACTTCAAAACAATATACTGGAAGACAACATAGGTCATTGCCTGCTCTAGGCTAGTCTCACTCCCAAAAGAATCATTTTAATCAAACATCTGTCTCTTTGAATAAATTATCTTGGAAATAAGAACCCCCCCCCCAGATCTTCTTTGATAATGTTTTCAATTGATATTTTTTTCTTTTTAAGCAATATTATCATTTGCTTTCAATGAGTGAAAGAGAGATTTAAAAACTTTCGTGAAAAGACTATTTTTCTTGTCAGTATTTCTTAAAGGTGTCACTTGATCAAACACATCTCTCTCTCTCATTTAAAATTTACTATATATATGGGGTAAGTGTGCTCAATACTATAGATAGAGCATTTATAGATATATACAGTATAGACATAGAAATCAATACTTTATGATGACTCAGTTACATGCCTCAATCTTTCAAACATATGTTTTATAATTTCACACCGTTAATAGATTAGGTTTGATATGAAATTTTCACAGTATAATTTTCAGTTTCTATGATCCATGGAAACGTATTCGGTTGGCTGCATTGACAAGGCAGGACATAATATTGAAAAATATATGTTTAAAATGCTGTTTTTCATTGTTAGTCTAAACTTAGTCACCTACCTACTTGTATGTATTATTTATTTCTCTGTTTCAGTCATTGTTATATGAATTTTCTTTTCTATTTTCCTTATGAAAGTTATCTTTTATTTAATAAATACATTTGTTCTGAAATTATTGATGCTGTCAAAATGTCTAAAAGTTCTGATATGAGGCAGGTTTAAAAATTCCCTAATTTATATTATAAAAGATCTGATTCTCTGTCCATTACATACTGTGTGTAACTTTGCGTGCATATATGTAATTTATATGTGTATACCTGTGTTGCGAATGAGTGACTTATGTGTTTCTGTCATTTAATATGCATACACACACAGTTTAACTGTAATAAGACATGGGAATAATTAGTTCCCCTTCTACTCTGGGTATTTCTCTACTGAGCAGTAATATTATTAAATTGGAAGCAATGAAAAAACAAAAGAAAATTAATTCTTTGAACCCTTAAAAAAAAAAAAATCTGATAACTACATTTTATCAAATTTAAAAATTTTTTTTTTTTTTTTTTTTTTTTTAATAATTTCACCCCAAGCAAGGAAATAAAGCCACTAAGATGTAAATAGTTGCTGAATGTGAAAGAATCTGAGAAATATCATTACTTATGAGAGTGGAAGCAGACAGAAGATGATGATTAACATTGCATTCAGATTTTTGGAGATTAAAGTTGGATAGAAAGCAAGAAGTCGGAAAAGAGTTCTACAGATGAAAAGCATGAGAACAAATTTAGCATAGAACTTAGTTACATCTAGCAATTTAAAAAAAAATAAAATGATGAGACCTACTTTGCCAATCTAGTATTGTACTTAAATTCATAAACTTGATGTAGAAAAGAAAAAAGCTCATCAGAACAATTACTGTGAAAATATTTATAGAAAAGACACGGGGTAGCTACATTACGGCAGTAGGAAAATGACTGAAGCCAAGATGCCATGTCAGGACTGATAACATTGCAGTTTCTTTAGATTCATTAAAAATCTTTAACTAACATAGCATAAACCAACTTTCTTAGCAGCAAAACTAGCAATTTATTCAATATAATCTTTCTACTTCATTGCAGTGGAAAGCATTATCCCAAGAAGGCACAATGAGTCCTCATCCTGGAGATTAGCATCAGCCATATTGATAGAAGACAAAAAGGTTTACTAAAACAATTAAAAAAAGAGAGCAGTTTCATTTTGGAGTCATTTTTTTTCCTATATTATTATTCTATAACAAATAGAATTATTTTTTTAAAGTTGTTTTAGAAATGTTTAGCTCTATCACTGAATTAAAATATAGACACACACACAATTTTAATAAAATTGAAATGGATATGTGTCTCCTGAGGGATAATTTCTCTTTCTGTCTGGTAACAACCCCTGTGTAAATGGAAAAGAGTGTAAGCCAAGCTTTGTAGCCCTTTGAAATCATTTCTATGATTCTTGCATTTAAACTGAATATATTTTCTAATAAATATATCATTTTAAATTGATAAACAAATTAGATGTGAATTTTGGTCATCATCAAAGTGACAGGTAATACACTAGTTTTGCTAATTCATCTAGTAGACTCATTAGGCCATAATTTTATTCATTTGATCATGAAGCAACCTTGTACAAAATCTCCATTTTAGAAGCTTATCAAAAGTTAAAATTCCTGTGTTGGAAATTGATCAGCAGTATACTTGTGTAGCATATGAGTTAGCCTTTTGGTTTCTTGTTTTAGATGAGAGAATCAAATTGCTCCAATACCTAATTATCAAAAGAGTACCCTATTCATTCTCTATTGTTTTTTTTTTCTCCTCCAGCTATTAACAATTAGAAATGGTAAAATTACATGATTTTTGTTGATAGGATAAACATGAATGTAAGAATAGAAAAATTTTTATGGGTGATAATTTTGGGGTTCATACCTTTTTAGTTATTATTCAGACAAACTAGCTTGAATTCTCATTATTACCACTCACTCAGTTTGTATTATAAATTTAAACATAGTTTTTTGATTGTCTGTTTGCAAGAATTATTAAGTTGTATCATAAATAATTTCCTTTTTTGTCTTGAATTTTATCCTTGAAAAAATAAATTATATTTTATTTGATTATATATTCATTTATCAAGACAGACTGGGTTCTATAGCTTTAGATGGCAACCAGTCTAGGAGAAAGTAACTCTGAATTCAGAATTCTATGTA